TTGTATGTATGGTGTCTGCATGTATTCAGGTGTGTTGGCCCATGACGACATATGTGGAGGCCAGAGGGGGATACACTTGTGTCTTTCTTAACTGCTTCATCATCTTATTTTCTGAGACAGGGTCTCTCACTGAACCTAGAGCTCACTAATTGGCTAGACTGGTTGGCCAAAAGGCTCCAGGATCTCCTGAACACCTCCCTGTTCACCTTCCAGCTCAGCTGGCAAGGTTATGTACGTGTGCACCATAACGGACTTACTAGGGGGTTGGGGATCTGAACTCAGGTCCTCTTGCTTCTGCCACGGCACCTCACCCACTGAACCATCTCCTTGGTCTTATTTTATAGAAATAAAAAAGTCAAGGGCTGGAGAGATGGGTTAGCGGTGAAGGGTGTGTACTGCTTTTACGGAGGACCCGATTCAGTTTTCAGCATCTGCGTTGTTGGGTGAAACTCTAGCTCAGGGGATCTAACAACTGCTTCTGTCTGCTCTGGGGCTCTCACATGTGCACATGCCCTGGCACATACCCTGACACACACACATACACACACACACACACACACACACACACACACACACAAATAAAGCTTAAAAAATCAAGATAGCAATCTAAAAAATAAATAACTCTAAGGATTTTTTGGGGGGAAATAATTTAAAATTGAAAGAGAAGTTTCAAGAATAATACATTATCCATATTCACAGACTATTAACATCTTGCTCCATTTGGTTCATCTTCTGCTTTCACTTTCTCTTCCACATTCTTTTTCTCTTATATTAGTATTTTTATGACCACATGACAGAAAAATGTATACATCCTGGCCGTTTACTCCCAATCTGCCCAGATTTAGCCACTGGAAGCTTCAAATCGACAGTTGTGCCTTGTCAACACACCCCATTAGAACTTGAGTACCCCTTAAATTCTGCCATAGAGGCTAAGCTCATGACCGGCATCATGTCCACCCCAGCCCGTTTCTGGAGTCAGGGATTTCTTTAAAGGCTGTCTCCCATGGGGAAGCACCATTAGAGGTCAGCCCTGGGCAACACTGCTAATCTTGATGGGGTTTAGAGCCCCGTAGGAGACAAAGCTCTGGGCACGATTGTGAAGGTGTTTTCAGAGAGGCTTTTCTGTGCTGGGAAGAACCAGCCTGAATATGGCAAGCACCAAACCATTTCATGGGCTGGGTTCCTGGACTGAGTCAGAAGGACAAAGCAAACAGCCCCAGCGTTTATCTCGCTTTTCTTCCTGCTGTGGACTCAGGGTGATCGGCTGCTTCCTGTAATTGCCACTACGTCTTCTCTGCCTTGATAGTCTGAACCCTGAAACCGTGAGCCAAAATAAGTCCTACCTTCTTCAGAATACTGTCATCAGGTATTTTGTTATAGCAACAAGAAAAGAACTAACAATAGGTACCTTCACTAATAGGCCTATTTTGTGGACATGGTTGGAAAATAATCCACACATATTTTTATTCACAGTTATACTTTTATACATATTAGAAATCATGAATCTATGTCAACACCTGAAATTAAATCCATTCCATAAGGGTCATTTAGCCTTCTCCCTCTTTCATTATTTGAATGGCTCTTCTTTCCAATTGACAACCGTGGCTCCTCACAGCATGAAGGCATTTTTAACTCATTTGCCTTCTCATGTAATAAATCTAAAACTAATTCAGATAAAAATCTAAAATAAAAATTGCTGTTTTAGTTACGGCTTCCATTGCTGTGACAAAACAATGACCAAAAGCAACTTGGGGAAGAAACGGTTTATTTCAGCTTACAACTTAAAGTCTATCGTCTAGGGGAGTCAGGGCAGGGTCTCAAAGCAGGAACCTGGAGGCAGGAACTGAGGCAGGGGCCACGGAAGAGTGTAGCTTGCTGGCTTCTTCTCCATGGCTTGGGCAGCTGGTTTTCTTAAATCACCCAGGACCATCTGCCCAGGGGTGGCACCTGGCCTGGGCCCTTCTATCATTAATAAATAAAATAAAATAAAATAAAATAAAATAAAATAAATAAAATAAAATAAGAGCTCTCCATACTTGCCTACAGGGCACGCTTATGGAGACTTTTCCTCAATTAAAATTTATTCCAGGAGCATTGGCTATACTTTCAAAGGACCCAGGTTCAACTCCCAGCACCCACATGGTAGCTTACAACTGTCTGTAACTCCTGTTCCAAGGGGTCCAACACCCTCACACAGACAGACATACGGGCAAAACGGCACTGTACATAGCATAAAAATAAATAAGTAATTAAAAAATCTATTCCAAGATGCCTAGTTGTGTGTCAAGTTGATATAAAAACTAGTCAGCACAATTGCATTGTCCATATCTCTATAAAGAGGTTGATTTAAAAAAGTTCTGATTTTGTGTGTGTTCCTTCCTGACTTTGAATAAGATTAAGAAATATGTATGATGCAAAAGGTTACACTCTGAGAAGTGTCATTCATGCTGCCACAGGGAAGTGTAATTCTTTCTGCCGTGGAGTATGCTTTATTACTTCCTGTTTAGCCTTCCTAGATGTCCTTTTGAATAGGTAAGTAGAAATATGTGTATTTTGGTATTTCCTCTCCTCATACAAAAGGTAAGAGTGCACTGAATATGTGTTTCTGCAATTTGCTTTTTTTTTTTTTTTCATGTAAGAATTTTTCTTGGAAATCACTCTAGATCAATTCAGAGATCTTCATTTTTTCCTTTCTTTCTTATAAGAGCTTTAGAGTGATCCATTGTAAGTATTTATCAAAGTTCCTCTAGCTTGGACGTCTAGCTGTCAATCTTTTGCAAGAGCTATGGCAATGGGCAACCCTGGGTGTTGTTGAGAGCTAGAGCCTTATTGTTGGTGTTCAGATGCGTCAACGGGGGTGGGGGAGTGGGGTGGGGTGAGGGGGTGGGGGGGTGGGGTGGGGTAGGGGAAGCAATGTAGGTTTTGTGGCTGTTGTGGAAGTCTTTTGCATAGGGTCACACCACTTTGCACTCCCATCAGCAATGCGTGAGAGGAATGTTCTCCACATCTTTGTCAGAAGAGTGTTATCACAAATTTCTAAATTTTTGTCAAGTTATGTTTGAAGTAGTTTCTATTTGTCATTTTAATGTTTCTCAGATGAATAAAAAGACCCTCAGCAATGGCCAGCCATCTCAGCTGGCCCTGCCCATCCCTTTCTCCACCCTGCACTTGCTGAGGTCTACCTCTCTGACTCTACCTTCTGCCCTCAGCCTGCTGGTGCTGTGGATTATGGTGGTGACCTTTCTCTGCCCCAGCCTTGGCTTTCAATGTTTGTCCTTTAGCTCTTCCCACCTTTGTTTAAGGTCCACTTTTAGAAATTTTCAGTGACTTTGTTATAGAAAGGATTATTCTTTTTCTATTAATTCAGGAAATAATTACATCAGCAATTTTCTTTAACCAGCTAGTTCCCCAATGACTGGCACAGAAAGACTATGATTTATTTTTAAGCTGTAAGCAATGTGCTGGACAGATTCTGAGCTACCCTAATCCTAGTACCTTTAAAACCCATAGAAAGCCAATCACTTGCCAATCTGATGACTCCTGGGGCATCTTCTGCTCCATCAGTGTGTTCCTACAGCCACGTGCTGATCGCCATCTTGCCTTCTCTTCCTCCCCTCTTCCTGGCTTTCTCTCCTCCTGCCACCCTTCTCTCTTCTCCTCCCTCTCTCGGCGTACCCAAGTCTGGGAACCTGAAAAACCTTCCCTACCTTTTTATCAAACAGTCATGGCTTTAGCATCTTTATTTGGCCAGTCAGGGATGGTTGGGGAACATTCCTTATCCTCACACGCTTTCAGGTGATAATTCGACATTCAAACAATGCCCGTAGCTGGGCGGTAGCCAGATCTCTAGGCACTGGAACCAGCATTCGAAAACACAGTGGAACCTTCCTCCAACACACTGTGGATGCCTTCTGCCTACTTTTATCCTATGGGGGAAAAATTCAAGTTGCCTGTTTGTCAGTGTATCCTTTATATGACTTACGCTAACTGAAGGCAGAAGAGCAGCATTTTTGTGGGTTGGACATGAACCAAGCAAGCACCTGGGTAGGCTGCTCAGGGGATAGACACAGTGGGCACAGAAGCTGTTTTCCCAAAGACAGAGCAGGTGATTCAGTAATCCCTAGGCAGTTCAACAAAAGGCCCTCTAGAATGATGTCCTGCAAGGTTTGACGACACTAATGCTTTTATAGAGGTTTCGTGGAGTTAAAGTTTGCCAGGTTTAGGCTTACGTGATGGGGACAGGGCAGCCATTTTGGACACCTGGGCTCCCACCTTTACCAGAGGAAAGGAATTCCTAAAGCAGCTGTGGTTGCGGCACACATCCATGAGGCTAGGAACCGCGCTCCACAGATGCCTCCACAGGTTGACATTTCTGTTACAAAGTTTCCCGAACTTTCTACATGATGTCACTGGATTCCCACAAGGAGGCTCACCGCAGCTAGGATTCATTCTGATTAGAGCGCTGTTTTGGCAGCAGATATGCATAGTTAAGAGTGCAAAGTAGGCTCGGAAGCAGATGGGGAGTTAATGCAAACAAATTGTAGGGGAGTGGTGGGAAGCGAAATCCTTTCTGTGTAGGGCAAAGAAAATACCAGGAGGAGCCAGACTCTAGCTTCGCAGGCCAGAGGTCTGCCAAGCAAGGAGGGAAAGGGTGCAACCGCAAGCTCACGTGCAGGGCACGAGTCAACCTTAGAGACGTGAAGAGGATTGGGGAAGGAGGCACTGGGTTCAGCGGAGGTGCCCTCTCCGCCCTGCGGCAAGGGGGTGTGGCGCCGAGCCCGGGAAGGTGGGGGGGCGGGAGACGGCGGCGCACGCCGCAGCGGGGTCTCCCCAGTTCTGCCCAGAAGCTTGAGGGCTGCGGAGCCGCGGCGGAGGCCGGCCGGGCGGAGGCGGAGCGAGGGCGCCGATGGGCGTGGCGGGGCCGCGCCGTCTGAGGGCGGCGCTAGGACCCGCAGGCCGCCCCGCCGGCTCCCGGGAGGTTGATAAAGCGGCGGCGGCGTTTGACGTCAGTGGGGAGTTAATTTTAAATCGGTACAAGATGGCGGAGGGGGACGAGGCAGCGCGACGGCAGCAGCCGCCCCAGGGGCTGAGGCGCCGGCGACAGACCAGCGACGCGAGTGTCGGGGTTAACCACGTCTCGTCCACGACCTCCCTAGGTACGGGGCCGGCGGGGCCGAGGCCCCGGGGGCGGCCGGGGGTCGGGGAGGCCGCGGCCGCTCGGGCCGGCGGGCACAGGTCTC